CTCTGGAGTGACTGTGGACCATGCTAGTAACTATTACCATCCCCTCTAGCTAACACATCTCAACTGTGATCAGAGATTGGATTTATGTCACTTTGCTGTAGACTTTCACTGAAGCATGTTATCTATTTTAGTTTTACTTTATGTTTTCTCTCAGAAACAGTTACTCAATTGAAATGCATAATGTAATGCAGGAGTTTCAAAGTCATGTGCCTGTATTTTTGTACGCTTAGGTATGTGCTACTGACATGAGCTGCATACTCAGTTGAACAGAAAGCAAGCACCTCATGTAAGTTGTTTGGCAGTCGCAAGTTAAACGATCTTTTAAATATTGCATACTAAAGAGCACTATTTATAAATAATCTGTTGAAATAAATACATGAAATGAAAATGTTTATCCTCCCTTTTAGTGGTAGAAGTAACTTTGATGGAAGCGTGGGCCAAGAGCCTGATAGACTCTGTCACCTCCTTTTCCCCTTCCCCCTCCCAGAAAAAAAAAAAAAAGAAGAAAAAGAATCAAAATTTCTCAAATTATTAGTTGTGGATTATTTGCTAATCTTTAAGGGTTTCTCTTTATTTTCCTTTGTTTCACAATATTAAAAGTTCTTTTATCTTCCTATGTTGGAAGTTATTATCTATGCTTGTGCAAAACAACATGTGAATGTTTCTCTCTTGTTGACTGCTTAGCTAGAGATAAGCTGGTTAAGTGTTCCTTAATTAGGCTCATTCTCAACAGCTGCTTGAAGTTATTAGGAAAGATTATATGATTGCATTGTAGAAACCGGTAAGATGTGTGTTTAATGTTCTGTATTACTAAACAGAGTAAGATGGAAAGTCATTTTAGTCTCACTCTCCCTGGCTTAGTAAGAGCAATACGAATGACAGATATCACAGAATTTACCTGTGGAGCTAGCAGTTTTTATATGCCTCGACTTTTTTATTGTCCTAATCTTCATATGAATTGTAATAGTATTGAAATGTATTCATTATGATTATTACATCGCTGTCATATGGGGGCATCATCAGAGTTACAGTACAGCAAAAAATTAGTCTTCTAAATATCTTGAAAAGTGTAGCCTTTCTTTGTAAATATCCTTCTGTGGTATTTGAGACAGAATTTTTTCCATCACCTGTTTGCAAACATTTCAGCCTATCAAGTGAATGCCCAACACAATTAATTGCTCTTGTTGCAAAAAGATTGTGCCCTTTCTTATGTTGCAGTTAAAGCATTATAATTTTTTTTTCCCAAGGAGCTGCATTTAGTTCTGTTCTGACAAGCACTTCAAAGCCTCTTAGAGAGCCTAACAAAACTTTTAGTCGCTTCTGCTGTATACTTCCATAACAATTATACCTAAATGCCTCACTATAAACAGAAACTAGCTATTTCAGGCACTTGACACATGTATTTGAATGGTGAAATGTTGACAAAGACTCCTAATATAATACAATGTCAAGACCTAAATTTTGTATCTGTTTGTTACATCCTGTCCTAGCATGAAAATTATGTGTTATGTACGTGTCAATATTAAACTGAGGCTGGAAAAAAAGCACAAAAAAAAACCCACAACAGAAATATGTAGTATATTTTCAGTAAAAATAAAAATACTATCTCCTAATGAAATCCTCATTAAGAAGATAATTTGAAAATGTAGTTTTATTTCAAAGTTTCTTTGCAGAGAGTTACTTATACATAAAGTTGTGTGAATCAAGAAAGATTATTAGAATGCTCACGTACTTAATCTAAAATCATTTGTGATGCATTTCACAAAAAATGTAATCTGTTAATATTTTTAATCATTTGTTGTTTAATACAGTCTCACAGTTCTTGAGAATTTTGAGTTATCTGCTCCTCTTTTACAGCAGCATTCAAATTTGTTAATAATTTATTGTAAATTTTTTCTGTCTTCTGAGATTTATGGTGTTGGATATGCTATTCTTTGCTAGTATTTTTACAGTAGATAGAACCATTTTACAGTAGATAAAATCATATTTCTCAGATGAGTATCTTGGAATCAGTAATTTGTCATTGGTTATAAAGTATAGAAACTCTGATTATAATTAGTGCTTTTGAGATATTTATAGCCCTTACTAGAAAGGAGATCTGGCAGGGGCTGAAATGGGAGATAGAAAATACAAAGATTGTTTCCTTCAAATACGTGCCAGATGTTCTTGGTCGTGATATGTGCAAGAAGAGTGAAATATATTCTAGAATAATTCTAACACCCTCCACTCAGGTTTCTCAAGTTGCTAAGAGTTCTATTTTACTGAAAAATTGTTTCTTCCACTCTTGGAATAGGAAGATACATAAATAAAATTGGTGTCGAGCTGGAGTTAAGTGAATTTTTGATATCCCTTTATATCTAGATATCCAAGGCAAATATTCCAGCCCTATTCACGTTATGTCATGCATTCTCCCACCTTCTAATATAATCACCAGAATCCTTCCAATGAAAGGAGCAATATTGACTAGGATTATGAAATTTGATCCTGAACATCAGGCTTTATGTATAGAGGGAGAAGGAGAGATGCAACAGAGGGATCTTTGTTCCTCCGAACAACATGACGAGATGACAGCAGAACTTCTGCATAGAAGAGCTCTAGGTCTCAGGTGCACAGTGACTGAAAGAGTTGGGTTGCTACTTTATCTTTCTCCAAGACCCAAAGTAAAGTCTGAATCAGTGGCTGCATTTTGTCACATGGAGTAAGACAAATATAAGGGGTGTACGTACTCGCACACACACACAAAAAAAACACTACACGTGCTTTTATCCATATGATGCCCTGTGTTCATTTGCAGAGGGAGTTGTTGTAGCATAGGTTGTGTGTTAAGGACCTTATGAATGTGTACAGCCTCGTTTGTACAAAGGCTACTGAGCAAGCTCTTGGTGCTGTTTTTGGATAACCCCCCTTTGTCACATTCAGTCCTTTTCAGGTTTCACTGAAGGAAGAGTTGCTTCACTTCCCCCCACCCCTTTTTAAGCATGAATGTTGTATTTGTATTTTCCAAACAAGTGAGGCCATAGCTCTGTAGATGTGTTGGAATGCCTGCTATCAGACCAACCTGGGCCCGGGACTATCTGTTTCTTCTTACGCTGAGTGTATTTCTCTCCTTCAGGTTTTCTTCCACGTCACCACTGGTCACTTTAATTTCCACAGTCTCCTTCCAACTTGATAGCAGTGAAGCAACCCATCAGCTTACACTTTTAGTTGTTTTTAATTTTATATTTGTTTTACCTAAAAGGTTTCCACTTCCTCTGCTATTTTAGTAGTTTTGTGTTTATTAGGTCTTGTGTAGTATGCTGTATATATATTTTATATATCCATATCAGCTGTCATCTTTTCATTTATGTATTACGTACATGTAATATATAAAAGAAGAAATAGTATAGTGGACAAAAATTGTTATTTTTCCTCCAATTGTCCTAAAACATAATGTTTAATGGCAGCTATTTTTGTCCTCTTTATCCTATTTCCCAGTATAATTATTTCTAGATCAGTGTCCTCCTTTCTGCATGCAGGCTTCTGTGAATATATTATATTTTTTCTTTGCTGTAATTTATACTTTAATATGTTTCTCCCAATGTTTATAGCTGCCCTTTCTCTGATCTTCATAAAAGCATTCATAGCATTACAAAAATTCTTGCTTAATGTTTACATTATTTTGCAAGCACATTATTTCTGTTTAGACATCTTACACTTCCTTTCTGTTTAGAACAAATGATTGTATTGGTATTTCTAATTGAATCTTAAACATGATTTCGCATTCCTTCATTGGCACAGTAGATCTATACAAATGTTATAGTTACAGATGATTAGATACAGATGCTATTACTGCTCAGGTTAGCTAGTGACTTGGGTCATTGGGAATTTATAGTCCCAAACTAAGGTTCACCTTTCTAAAGTCTGGGTGCTTAGATTTGCACAAGTGGCATGCTGATTTTATGTATTTACTTATTTTAAATCTGTGTGTGGGATGAATGATACTGATCCACTTGGAAATGCTCTGTGGTCAATGGATAAAAGCTGTTGCATATAATTTCTGAACTGATGAAACTGTAATATTGTAATTGCTATATGAAGTATTTGCTATGTACCAGTGTAGGGTAGCCAAACAGGAAAAAAAACATGTTGGATAAAGAACAGGTTCTGCCCAATAAATCTTCCACAGAGAAGACAATCCAGCTATCCTTATGAAGTGTATTACTGTGCCTATTTTTGCATAATTGACACCTGAAGGTTTAAATGAACAGCTCTCTGTGACCAATATGTAAGCTTTTTTCCGGATAACCTTGACTATAAAAATAGTATTAAAAATGCTACAGCAGTGGTTGGAGAGTACCTGACTCTACTTTTGGTAACTTTCATCGTGTCCAATAAGTTCTGTTCACTTTTGTATGCTAGCCAAATGTAGTTTCCCTCTGCAGACTCATTTTAAGTCTTTGAAGCCTCAGTTTTTGCTATTTTAGTTTAAATACCCTGAAATCTTAAATTCTTAGTCTTATCCTCAGTTGCATGTGCTAATCTAATATAACATTTTTTGAATGCGGTCTTACAAGCGCATATGCTTAAGCTTACATATACACAAGGATACTGGATATTCATGAGAGACCTGGTGTATATGAATCTTGCCTCATGAGACTGTCTGATCTTCCTGTCAGTCTTCTCATAACGGCTCAGCTCTTAATAAAATTTGTTTTTGTGTGTGACCTATGTGTCTGCATTGGGATGAAGGACAAATTATAGTAATAGCCAGATGAAAAATTCTGATGATTATAAAATTTCATGTTGAAATCTGTTTGTCTTTATAAGTACTTTGGGGGAACTGTGAAGTTTTGTCTTAGCGACAAAGAATCTCAAGGTTCTTCCTATGGGGAAACTCTGTAGGTTTTTGCAGCTTTCCTGTTTTTCAGGTCCTCAGCAGTCCTGTTGACCTCTAACCAGAGGAGTGGTCTAAGCCTTTGGGCTTCTGTCCTTTTGACAGCAGTTCTGGAGAGAGTGGCTACCTGCTCTGTCTTATCCGAGTTCCTGCGATCGGCAGTTTGGGAAAGTCCTGTTTGGAAGGCTGACGTTCTCTGCAAAACCAACACAACACTGCAATGTTTTGGGGTTTTGCTGTCCGTCATCATAAATTCAAATCGCAACAGCCATTGCAAAAAGCCTTGCCTTTTCCTAATCAGGGGTGATGATGATATCGTCTTTTTCCTCCCTTTTTCTTATATAGCTGTCTTACTGATTTAGATTATTTTCCTTGCAGAGGTCTGTTTATGATCTTAGTTTGTACAGTGCCTAGTACAACTGGATCTTGTGATGTATGACAGCCTTTACTGACAGGTTATTTGTCTACTGAGGCTTTTAAAATTACTAATCAAATACCTCATGGGAACTGTCAGCTTTCCTCAATAATATGTATTTTTAAATCAGCAGCAGATTTAACAGATAGATTTCAGTCAAAAATGCTTTCTGTGGGAGTATGTTGTTGAATGGCTGTCAGTTTCAGCAACCAAAGACTACCAAATAATTCCAGTTACCGTTGTCTGACAAGTACAGTTTATCAACAGACCAAAATATTAGTTTTGCTAACATTTCTTCCCAAGCAAAATATCTTCTGACCTTTGTCCTCTTGATTCTTATTATTTCCTCTTTTGTTCTAAAAGCTTTTAAAAATTATGAAGTTGCTTTACTTTTTCCTTATGCTAATATCGTCATCAAGGAAAGCTTTATACCTTTTCTTTTGGTATATCTGAGCGAAGAAAAGGAGTAATATATTTTTCATAAAATCATAAAACAATTTAGGTTGGAAGGGATCTCTGGAGGTCATCTGGTCTAGCTCTCTGCTCAAAGACCCAACCTTAGATCCAACTCCAAAGTTAATCTGCTTAGGGTCAAATCCAGTTCAGTTCTGAGTATCTCCTAGGATGGAGTTTGCACAGCCTTTCTGTGTAGTCCGTTTTCAATGTCTGGCCAAGCTTCCTGTGAAATTTCAGTCCTATTATCTAGCTGGAATGTCTCTTCTTGCAATTTGTATCTGTTGCCCATCCTCTTTTTGCTGTTTTGTATAACATAAAACCTATCTTGAAGTGAGAAGAAAGGTGATTGGAGTTCCACCTTCCCATTCTGGATCAAAAGTTAGTCACGTCATCAGTGAAACTCTTACTGTGTTTGAAAGTTTTAATCTACCCCCTACCCCAATCCACCGATCACATATTGCTGCCAGCAAACAGTCTGCACAAGTTAACTGAAATGCCAGAGAGCAACACAACTAAATAATTAGTATTTGGTACTTTTTGTGAACAATATGAAATAGTAATTATCTATGTCATATAGCATAACAGAAGATTGCCATTTTCTTTATAATTTTACAATGTAAGGAAGAATGGTGTGTAATGATGTTTTCTTCAATGAATTTTCTTTAGCCTACATTTACTATATCAAATTTATTTCAGAAGTGTTCCTATTGAATGTACTCAGAGTATTGTGGGGGAAAGAGGTACTCTTAAAAACAACACTGCTGGAAGAGAACCCTGATCGAGCTACATCTTGCAATAGTTTTGACAAATACTGACAACGAACAAATTTGACAAGCAAAGTTCAAAAAAAGTTGAACAGAAGTTGATTGCTCTACAGCAGTTTCATTTGTTTTTCTATCCCCATCTACTGGGAGGAGGCTATATTACACAGTTGCCTGGAATGGCATGTGTGATCGCCTAGGTAGAAGAAATTTTCATGATTGTCTTCATCTGAACTATGATCAAACTGAAGTTCTGATATGTATACATATATAACAATTAGTTAACTTTGATCCTGAGCTGTGATTGTTGTCTGCTGAGTTTTGCAATTTATTTATTAATTGACAAACAGTCAAGTAAGATGGATGTTATATAACAAATTTAATGTAGATTGTCTTAATGTACATACACTATTTCTTTTTTAAGATGCTTGGCAATAAAGCATTGCTTTCAAGGTAATCGAATTGAATGTGCATCAAAAATATTTGAGTTTAGAAATCATGCCAAGCTGATGTTATATTCTGTTGTATTTCAAGAGCTCATACTAAATATTACAACTTAGATCAGGTGATCCTAGCCAGATACAAAAATATGGCTAGATATGGAAGTGCTATAGAATCTGTAGGTTTTGCTATCCTAAAGCATTTTTCTAACTATAGGGAGGAAAAATATCTATGCTTTCAAATGTAAGAATCACGTATATGTTGATTGAGCTGAAGCTTTCAAATGAGTTTCCTTTGAAAGGACAATGATTCAACGTATAACAGATGATCTCCTCCTATATGTATGTTGCAGATTATTTTTTATATTCTCACTCATGCAAATATAGAAGAAGACAAAAGATTTAGATGAACAGTAAGCAACTGGAAAGCACCTAGTCTTCGTATAATACCACAATAATTGCAAAAACTGGTATCCAGCAGCTGAGGAATATATGATTGAAGAATAACAGCTTTTCTGGACCTGTGTTTCTTTGCTCAGGAATTCATTAATGAAGGGCAGCTTATCCCTTCTCTACAGGAAGTATGAACTGTTTTTTGAAGTCCAGTTATTATCTCTGTTGCACAAATTTTCAATCAAATTTATGATACCCCTCTTGAGATCTGACCCCTGTGCAAATCAGCAAGGTATGAAAGGATAACCCCTGCATAGCACTCCTGTTCTCTGAGGTAATTTTTGGAGATAGACTTTTGGTTTTGCAGAGTTGTCTTTTGGTTTTGCACAGTTGTCATTTGCGCATGTTACATTGAAAATCCTACCTGAAATTGATGACAGCTTGAACTTCTGACGAGGTCAGCCAGAAGTTGTCTGGCAGTATCTGTGTGCATGGCTGAGTTGTGAACACTGACGAGAGTAACTATTTTCAGTAGATACCTATATTTATGGAGAACTTAAAACAGCTTCATAAGACAAATGTGTCATAATCCTCATTTCTAGGAGCTCTTCAGTGCATACAACAGGTGTGGGCAATTTTCTTCTTTGCTAAACTCACTGCATCTAAACTGAAACCGTCTTTCAGTAATTGTTGAAATCCAAGAAAGTAATTGAGACTGTTTGCTGCGTGACAACAGGCACTTTAAAGACGAGAAGAATCAAAATTCTGTGATTACTTTGCTAGCAAAATCTAAATAATCAAACAAAAATGATGTTTTAGTATATTTTGCTGATCTTTCAGTTCCTTTTAAATCTTATTACCAATTTAATGAAACATTACACACAGCATAAGTTAGGTTCAACAGAATCGGCTTATCTACAGTAGAGGTATGATTTAACTTGAAGCCTGTGGAGTCCTTTCAGGAACTACCTCATCTTTTTCAGTGTAACTCTATCAAAAGAATTGTGGGTTCCCTCTACGCCTTGATCTTTCCAGTTACTCAGGTAATCAGGGCATAAATACACAAATTTCCTAAATAATGCTAAGAGTAACTGAAGGGAAATCAGATATATTAGAAGGCACAACCTAACACTAAAGGAATGTTGCAGGTGGACCAAAGGAAAAAGGTATGGCCTCTTAGATGCATCTTTAATGGTTATTGTCTACAGTAACACTTAAGCAACATGCATAATCCACTAAGTGTTTAAAAAATGAACTCTATACAGAGGCAGTTGTTTCTTTCAATGCTCTGATACAAACATGTTCACCTGTTCTGAATGCATCAGTATCTCAGGCTTAGGGTCCTTTCTTGTTTCTTGCAAGTTTTTAATTTATCAGCTTTGTCAGAAGACATAGTTTGGGTACAGTATTTTTATTCTCAAGGGAAATGTTTAAGATTTAATTTGTGAAACTGTGTTAATAGGACAAAAGGAGACTTAAAAATTCAAATTAATTTTTTCTTATTTAAAGAACACCTTCATTATATGAGAACATAAGAAATCTCTTATTTCCTCATTCGTAAAAGAATGACCATCAGAGCAAATGAAATCATTGGGATAGGAGAGAGAACATTGGATATCATCATTTCTTTTATTTTTAAACTCAATAATATAAAAACTAAGATTATCCAGATTGTCTTCTGCCTTCAAGTGTTCAAACCAAAACCTAAAATGGTCTGATCTTTCAGAGAACTTCTATTCATTTTCTGAAAAGTTAGCCTTCTGTGACCTAGCTTAACTGAATATCTTTGAAAACTCAGCCATAATGTGAAGACATTGAAGCAGACAGCTTCAAGAGGGAGGTGTACAGAAGTTCAATACTCTTGCATTTTTCTACCAGTGGATGAAAGATAATTTTTTGAAAATTTGTCTGCAACTCTTCTGTGGTTATAAGCAAACCTATAAACTATTCTCCAATATTTCCAAAGTAATGACATCTGTACATGACTTAGTTGAGAGAGGACAAGAAATTGGGGAAAGAAGTTTTAAGAAAAGCTATTAAAACTTTGAATTTTGCAATTCAGAAAAGTTAACTGGCAAATGAAAGGCCAAGTAAGAGACTATAATTCTGCTTAGTAAGTAAGGAATATGTTGTGTGATCTGATTCTTGCATGCTTTCCTTGCATGCATGTTTCAGAGTTAGTGCAGAAGGAGGCAAAGTAAATTCTTATTGAGTACTGTTATATGTAGGGTTTAATTCCAAATTTGTAAGGGGAGGGAAGGAGGAAGAGAGAGGGGAAAAGAAAGGGGGGGGGTGGAAATCCAGGTGGTAAAGGAAGGGTTTTTGGGTGTTGGTAAGTCTTTAGTTTTTGCTGGGTTTTTTCACTGCTATGTATTTTGAGGTTAACAATAAAAGAAGCATTCCCATAATGCATCATAAAGAGATAAATCAGTGGAAAATATTGTTTAGAGTGATACAAAAATTCTTCCTTTTCTCAATGTGCTCAGCTGCAACAACCTGTAATAGAGGAATTAATTTGTAAACTTACTAGTGAGGTAATACAGATAATTTTGTGGGGGAATTACTAAAGGTGGCACCTTATTACTAAACTTATTAATGGGCTCAAGGTGAGGATTATGCACAAACTCAATCAGTTCTTGCTACAATTATGTCATTCCAAGGGTATTTGATGGGGTAAACAACGAGCCTGTCTATCTACATTAGTAGAGAGACAGGTGGACTTGGCCAGCATATTAGAGTCCCAGAATGTGAACATGTGGAGACTTCTCTGATACTCTGGGGC